TGTGTCATTAAGGATCCCTGCCAGCCTTGTAAGTGCACCATCTGTGACACCGTTCAGCCTTGTAAGTGTGTCATTAATGATCCCTGCCAGCCTTGTAAGTGCACCATCTGTGACACTGTTCAGCCTTGTAAGTGTGTCATTAATGATCCCTGCCAACCTTGTAAGTGCACCATCTGTGACACCGTTCAGCCTTGTAAGTGTGTCATTAAGGATCCCTCCCAGCCTTGTAAGTGTACCATCTGTGAGTTTTGTAAGTGTACTATTAAGGATCCCTCCCACCCTTGTAAGTGTAACATTGTAAATATCACTAAGACTTGTAAGTGTACCACTAAGGATCCCTCCAAGCCTTGTAAGTGTACCATTGTGAAATCAACGAAGCTTTGTGATTGTACCACTGAGGATACCTCTGAGCTGCGTGAGTGTATCATCTGTGACACTACCCAGCCTTGTGAGTGTACCGTCATGAACATCACCCAGCCTTGTCCCTGATAGTACATCATGGTACAGCCCAGTTGAGCTCTAGGTGGTTGCAGATCCATCCAGCAACTAACTTTATGGACTATATATCCCAACCATGTAATACTCAGGCGAGCTCTTCTCACATTCTGCATCCAAGAAATTGTGCGCAAAATAAAATGATTGCTTTAAGTCACAAAGTTTTGGAGTGATTTGTTAGGTATAGCAAAATGGTCTTGGACACTCTACCACTGGTCTCTGAATCCCTTCTCTAGGGATCAAAATACAGAACTGTCTGCAGGCAAAGAAGCAATGCATGGAACTACAGGGCAGAGTAGCAACAGCTTGAGAAACATGGTGGTTTCCCCTAAGGGCATGGAAGGGTCTACATAGCTAATCAGAGCCTCATTAATGTCTCCTTCAGACGACTTCCTTGTTGCTGTCCACCTAGTCCATAACCCTACTGCTCACAGTGATAAAGATCCGAGATTCTTAGTGTCTCAAATAATTGAATGAAGACTCCCACACACCAAAGTCAAGTGGCAAAGCAAGTTTAACAGAGAAGAGAAGAGAAGAAAAACACGAATTGGAGCTAGGTAGCTTAAGAGTAAGCACATGAAAATGTTTACTTCTGTAGGGCTCAGGGAGAATGAGAGGGGTTTATTGCAATGATGACTGATCTTAGGGAAAGGAGGGGTCATGACTACGAAGATTTTTGGAAGGAAGCTGCATGTACAAGGTAGTCATAGTTTTAAGTATATGTGTGACATGGAGCCCAAGTGCATGAAGCTTTGTGGGAATTGTACAAAGGTCATTCTGAGGACACATGCAATTTTTTATATTGGTCAAATTAAAAGTACTTAATTTTTTTTTTTTTTTGCTGATCTTGGGGCTTGAACTCATGGCCTGGCCCTGTCCCTCAGCTTTTTTTTTTTGTTGTTGTTGGTTGTGGGGCTTGAACTCTGGACCTGGGCGCTGTCCCTCAGCTCTTCAGCTCAAGGCGAGCACTCTACCACTTGAACCACAGCACCACTTCCGGTTTTCTGGTGGTTTATTGGAGATAGGAGTCTCACTGTCTCTCCTGCCCGGGCTGGCTTTGAACCGCGATCCTCAGATCTCAACCTCCTGAGTAGCTAGGATTACAGGCGTGAGCCACCACCGCCTGGCTAGCCCTCAGCTTTTTTGTGCTCAAGGCACGTGCTTTACCATGTGAGCCACAGCATCACTTCCAATTTTTAAAATTTTTTTGGTCATTATGCAAGGCAAATTGTGCATCATGATTAGAAAATTTAGAGATGTTCTGGGTTTTTTTTTTGTTTTTGTTTTGTTTTCTTTTCTTTTTGGCTGGTCCTGGGCTTTAATTCAAAGGCACTGACACTGAGCTTTTGTTCAAGGCTTACACTCTACCATTTGAGCGACAGCTCTACTCCCAACTTTGTTTTTTATTGATTTAGTGGAAATGAGAGTCTCACAGACTTTGCTGCTGGTGCTGGCTTCAAACTCCAGTCCTCAGATGTCAGCCTCCTATAGCTAGGATTACAGATGTGAGGCACTGGCGCCCAGCTTCTGAGTGTAAACTTTCAGTTGTCCAAGTAGAGGCACTAAATTGACTGCTATTTATGTGTATCCTGTCCATGTTATATGCTTTTCTTGATGAGACATGGTTCATTTACTGTTGAAAAAAGTTAGCAAATCAATAAAAGCAAAGATCCCTCATTTCCTGAAGTTTACATTCTTGAAGAAGACACAAAAGGGATAAACCTACTAGGTATTTCATACAGAATGGTAGAAAGTAACATATGCTGTTGAGAAAGAGTGCAGGTGATGGGTGGTGATGGAGAGAGAAAAAATTTAGAATGGGAACTGAGGGAGACAGCCAAGGTGAAATCAAGGAAGAAGGTTCCAGGCAGAGAAAATAGCTGGAACAAAAGGGGTCCCTGCCCTCAGAGGGCTTGATATGTATGGGAAGGATCAAGGGCATCACAGTGGCTGCAGTGCCCTGAGAAATGGGGACCATTTTAGCAGAGATGTTGAAGTTCAGTGGGGAAAAGACCCCTGGTGAGCCATGATAAGGATGGCTTTTACTAAGAAGGGCTGCCTTCAGGCCTGAGTACAGGAGTAACAGGTTTCGACTCTCCTGTCAGTACATCCCAATCTGTCAAGGTAAGTGTGTGAGCAGCTGCTGAAGAGGTGAGGTGTGTCCCAGATTAGTCAAGGGCAAGGGTGGCTCAGGGTATGAAAGGGGGGAGGCATAGGCTGGGTGTATTTGGGTGAGAGAGTCAGCAAAAATTTTGCATGTTCTGGATGCAAGATGGGGCAAAATAAGACTCCCAGCAACTATAAAGTCAGAGCTGTCACCGAGGTCAGAATTATGATTATCAGTGGCTGACTTCAACGAAGAATAGATGTGAAGCCTTCATCTGTATATCTGTGCTAGAAAAAGAATTAAACTTGCTCAGAATTAACCAAATTCCTAGCTTGTTTTTCCTATGCATGGTTATTCCAGAATATACTCCCTTATAAAGCCAAGGCATCTGCAAAGTTAAACTTGTACAACCTAAATGGAGAGCCAGGGTTTGATTCTCAGCCCTGGTTAGTCCCTATGTCTGTTTATCTTTTCCACAACTTTTTAAACTGGAAGAATATAAGCTGGCATTATCTGCTTTCTCTACATAATGACACTTTCGTAAGACAAAAATATTAAGGAAAGAACGCCATGGCCTTCTGATTGTTTTTACCCTTCTGGTACATTGGTGGTTCACACCTAATAATCCTAGCTACTTAGGAGACTGAGATCTGAGGATCGCAGTTCAAAGCCAGCCCACGCAGAAAAGTCTTTGACACTTTTATCTCTGACTAGCCAGCAAAAAAGGCCAGTATGGCTCAAGTGGTAGAGCTCCACCCTAAACTAAAAAAGCTGAAAGAGTGAGGCCCTGAGTTCAAGCTCTAGTACCAAAGCTTGTGCACACATATATACAGACGGGACTAGAAGTATAGGAGTATAGAAGCCTCTTCCCTCGTAGCTTAACATACTCTTTCCCTAGGCAACACTAGGCCTTTGTATTGTAGTAAAGGCAGCAAATGATTAGACCCCCCCCCCCACGCTTTCCCTGAGAGATCACCCCTGTGGTATAGCTATGACATATAAGGCAGAGAGATTTTCCCCAAATCCTGTAGGTTATAAAAGGTCACCTGAGACAATAGCTGGCACTTCTCACTTCCTCTCACCTGGTAAGAAGGGGTCTTGCCCAATAAACCTGGATGTCCACATGATTTTCTGGCAGAATCTAATTTACTCTTAACAAGTAGGGCTTATCCTGTATTGTAACTCTTCCTGACTATACTTATCTATTTATCCATATGAAGTTTTTCTGTTTTTTGAGCTGCTTCAACAATGTCTTAGTATTTTGGTATCTTTATATTGTTGAACAATTTTATATAACAATTTATTTTCCTTTGTTCAATTATACTTCATGAGCTTTTGGAATATTCAGGAATGCACTGCTCTCAGTTTTTTACATTTCATATGAAATTGCCCCCAAAATTCTCATGTTGTTATTGTCATCTTTGTTGGTAAATGTTTTTGCCTTTTGCTAGGGTAGCTTCTGTGTGATTGTGTACCTAAAGGTTGCTGATTTGTGTGTGTGCTAGTATTAGGGTCTGAACTCTAGGCCTTGGTTTCTCACTTAGCTTTTTTTCCCCCCCAAGGATGGTGCTCTACCACTTGCCACAGCTTTTTCTGTCTACTTGAAAATAAGAGTTTCTCAAATTTACCTGGGCTGACTTCAAACAGGATCTTCAGAAAATGCAAGGCACCGGAATCAAATACAGTGAAAACAGGGGTTATACCATGGGGGAAGAACATACAAAAGAAACAAACAAAAATCACATAAGTATGTTAAAAAATAGCAAAGAAGAAAAAAAATCACTTGTGTCCCTGTCTTGGGGTTCATTTCACTTAACAACATAGATGAATAAGACACTATGTTGAAAACGAACTTTACAACTTGGCGATTGGGGGGGGAGGGAGGAAAGAGTTGGGAGGTGGGGAGGGAATGTGATGGTACGGGAAAAACGAAGTAACAATGCTCGATAGGAAATATACTCAGTACCTTACTCATGTAACTGTAACCCCTCTGTACACTATTTTTACAATAAAAAACATTTTAAAAAACTGGGATCTTCAGATCTCAGTCTTCTGAGTAACAAGGATTACAGGCATGGGACATCAATGCCCAGCTCTTTTTTTGTTTTATGATAATTATGCCTGCTTCTAAATGGAATTCTTTATTGAGTTTTAGGTACTTTTAAATAATCCTATTTATCCAAAATGAAACATGAATCCTATTTATCCTAAATGAGACATGTCTTCATCTCGACATCCCTGGAATGGTTGTCATGAATCATTGTAAGATTTTTTTTTCCTGCCATATTGTAAAACTTACAAATGTGAAGAAATGAAAAGGAAATGTGTGTTTTAGCTAGATGTGGTAGTACAAACCTGTAATCCTAGCACTCGGAAGTTGAGGTAGAAAGATCTAGGGTCTAAGGCCAGCCTTGGGAGCTACATAATTAGACTTTTGTTGTTGGTGGTTGTGGGGCATGAACTCTGGGCCCGGGCACTGTCCCTCAACATTTTAGCTCAAGGCTAGTGCTCTACCACTTGAGCCACAGTGCCACTTCCAGCTTTTTTCTGCTTATGTGGTGCTGAGGAATTGAACCCAGGGCCTTATGCATGCAAGGCAAACACTCTACCACTGAGCCACCTTCCCAGCCCTAGACTGTCTTTTTAAAAGGAAATTTATATTTCAGCTTAGTGTCCTTTCAAATTGTTAGGACAATGAAACAAAATTGCCAATTTTAATTTGATATAATTTTAATTTCCAGTAATATTTTACCAGTAATAATGAGGGGTAAAATGACCCAAGGGTGTTAAATACCTATACAGAAATAATCACCATGAAATCTCCACATTATACAATTACTATGTATTAAGAAAATGCAAGAAGAGGAAAATCATGTCATAGCTAGGAATGTGAGATGTATTTTAAGCATGGATTGCTTTAATGTCCTTTTTTGAAAAAAAAACATTGTTTACTAATAAGCAGATTTTATTTGTATGAATTTGAACCATTCAAAACCTTTGTATGATAGAGGGTAA